GGGCCACCCCCTGGGGTGACACCGGGGTCCTGTCCCCCTGTCCCCAGGGTCCCCCCTTGTGTCCCCTCAGGGTGTCCCCCATCCCCAGGGTCCCCTCACGGGTGTCCCCATGTCCCCAGGGTCCCCTCGGGGGTGTCCCCCATCCGCAGGGTCCCTGCTGGCCATGTCCCCCCATTCCCGTGTCCCCTCATTGGTGTCCCCCGTCCCCAGGGTCCCCTCACGGGTGTCCCCCATCCGCAGGGTCCCTGCTGGCCATGTCCCCCCATTCCCGTGTCCCCTCAGGGTGTCCCCCGTCCCCAGGGTCCCCTCACTGGTGTCCCCCTGTCCCCAGGGTCCCCTCACGGGTGTCCCCGTGTCCCCATGTCCCCTCACTGGTGTCCCTGTGTCCCCGCGCCCCTCGCCAATGTCCGTGTCCGCAGGGTCCCCGCTGGCCATGTCCCCCCGTCCCCAAGGTCCCCTCGGGGGTGTCCCCATGTCCCCTCACGGGTGTCCCCGTGTCCCTCGCGGGTGTCCCCATGTCCCCTCATTGGTGTCCCCGTGTCCCTCGCGGGTGTCCCCATGTCCCCTCACTGGTGTCCCTGTGTCCCCTCATTGGTGTCCCCATGTCCCCTCACTGGTGTCCCTGTGTCCCTCGGGGGTGTCCCCGTGTCCCCTCATTGTTGTCCCCGTGTCCCTCGGGGGTGTCCCTGTGTCCCCTCATTGTTGTCCCCATGTCCCTTGCGGGTGTCCCCGTGTCCCTCGGGGGTGTCCCCGTGTCCCCTCATTGGTGTCCCCGTGTCCCCTCACGGGTGTCCCCATGTCCCTCACGGGTGTCCCTGTGTCCCCTCATTGTTGTCCCCATGTCCCTCGCGCGTGTCCCCGTGTCCCCGCGCCCCTCGCCGATGTCCGTGCCCGCAGGGTCCCCGCTGGCCGGGATGCCGGGCGCCGCCGCGGGCCCCGTCCCCGTCATCCGCATGTTCGGGGTGACCGAGGGCGGCCACAGCGTCTGCTGCCACGTGCACGGCTTCGCGCCCTACTTCTACGTGCCCGCGCCCCACGGTGACGCCCCGGGCCCC